ATTTTGTGAAGCTGGGCGTGTTAAACAAACAACAAAGACTGATAGAATAAATTGCTAATTTCCACGTGAGAGCTAATTTTAGTTCCTATGATTTCAGATATGAGAATGAAAAAGATCTTGCCTATGTTCAGGATTATTTTAATGTCCCAGAGTGCTAAAGTGACCTAGATATTTAACTAGTAAAGTCGGGTGACTAGACTTTGTCCTACAAAAAGATTTCCAACCCTGAGTCTGTATTTTCTTAGAAGAAAATGAACACTTGTTTTTTTTTTAAAAAGTCTAAGAATCAACTCTTGATTTTTCAGCTTACTTTCCTCAATTAGACTAGCCTCTGCTTGATGTATTTTGCTTTTTGGAGATTAGCTTATTAATTGTATGCTCTAGTCCATCAAAGTGAATACATATATATATATACACATATATACATATATACACACATATATATGCATACATATATATACATATACAGAGAGAGTAGCAACTGTTTGAAGACACTAAGAAAAAATTACATTGCTGTTACTTTGCTCCAGATGTTTGATGAAGCTATGTAATAATGCTCAAGCTGCAGCACTATTTTTTTGGTGATTGCTGTCACGTGGGAAATGTTCCTGTTTGGTCTCCAACAGACTTGTCCTCCTTTCATGGAAACAAAGTACTCTGGAACCAAGGACCTGTTTTCCTTTTTTGAAATTGTTTTTTATTGTACAGACATTTTAGAGCCCTTAATGGGAAAGGACAGAAATATATTTTTCCTAACTACATTTATAATGGTAATGTTACAGACATAAAAGAAAAATGTCACAATTCTTCTACCATAAAAATCTATTTGTGTTTAAGCCCTTGTCCTTATATAGTAATTTTTGTGGTTGTAATTTTGATACAGATACAATCATAGGACTTATTTTTACCACCGCTTGATGACATTATATTATAAACATTTTCCATATAGTTACAAAACACTATTATGAAGGTGATACTATATGAAATGTATTTAGATAATATAAAAATATGAGGAGAATGAAAGTCTTCATTCCTACTCATTTACCCAACCGTTATACATACAGGGTCTTTTTTACTTTGTTTTTGTTTTATTTTTACAAGAATGTTATCATAATGTACATATATGCTTTTACTCAAACTTGTGGATTTTTGTTTTTAAATCAAGGAATCCTCTTCATACAAGAATATGTGAATCAGCCCAGTCTTATTCCTTTCAATGACTGCAGAGTATTCTCTTGTGTGGATGTATTATAACTTTTTCAATCAACTCAATATTGTTTACTTTTAGGTCATTCCTAAATTTTTTGTAATACAGAACAGATTTATTTAAGTGTTTCTCTTACTGTTGGTCTTTTTTTTCTCTATTTTCTTTTTCCCATCACCATTTTTTAAAAAAATATTTTTATTGATTTTTTACAGAGAGGAAGGGAGAGGGATAGAGAGTCAGAAACATCAATGAGAGAGAAACATCACTCAGCTGCCTCCTGCACACCGTCCACTAGGGATGTGCCTGCAACCAAGGTACATGCCCTTGACCGGAATCGACCCTGGGACCCTTCAGTCCGGGGACCCTTCAGTCCGCAGGCTGACGCTCTATCCACTGAACCAAACCGGTCAGGGCTCCCATCATCATTTATTCCCTCTATGCCAGTGGTTCTCAATCTTCCTAATGCTGCGACCCTTTAATACAGTTCCTCATGTTGTGGTGACCCCCAATTTTACACACCCTCCCCTCAGGACTTCTTCTTCTTTTTTTTTTTTTAGTTTTACTGAATTTAGGGTAAGTCATTGGGTTTTGTTAGAAAATTGATATACTGTTAACTGTATTGGAAAGCATAAGGAGGTGCTTGGATGACCAAGTTTTTTTTTCTTATCGTTTGCTCTAGCTAGCGTGGGAATCTGCGTGTAAGAGATTAATCCAGGTAGTTTATTAATATTTTGCAAGTAGGATTTTGGGTTCTTTGGTTAATTTAGGGTTATCAGTAATGGTCATTATCATTTTCATTGTTTCAGGATCTTTGCTTTTGTATGTTACTATCTAATTGCTTATTTAACCGATGGAGATGTTAATGGTTTTTGGTTTTTTTAATTCTTAAACTCAGTTGTAGAGAAGAATGAGTTGGTGGAAAACACAATAGAAGGCCATGAGTTTGGCTTTTGGTTCTGTTCAACAACCAAATATTACTACTACTATTATATTCTAATTCAGTGAAGTACTCCATCTCTGCTCTGGATCGCATATCTTTCCCTCATCTCAGGAACTTTACACAGCTCAGTATTCCTTCTCTTAAATATTTAATCCCTGTGAACTAACTTCTTCCCTTTGACTTTTTAAAAAATATATATTTTTATTCATTTCAGAGAAGAAGGGAGAGAGAGAGATAGAAACATCAATGATGAGAGAATCATTGATCGGCTGCCTCCTGCACACCCCCTATTGGGAATCAAGTCAGCAACCCAGGCATTTTTCCTGACTGGGAATTGAACCATGACCTCCTGGTTCATAGGTCGATGCTCAACCACTGAGCCACACTGGACGGGCCACAATTTTATTTAAATGCCAGTACAAAATAACATTCAGAAGTTGCGGGACAGTAAGTCAATATATGCTGCTCTTAGGTAATATTCAAATTTATTTTATAATGTTATATAGGTTAAGTTTTTCAATAGGAAAATTCTGAGATTTGACACTTTAGATTTTAAGGCTTTGAACATAGACATTATATTAGTATATACTTATGTATGTTTAGCAATGAAATTTAGAAGTAGATTAAGTCTCTATTAGAGAATAAAGAATGTGAATTTAGCCCAGGTAGCTCAGTTGGTTAGAGAGTCATCCTGAAACACCAAGGTTGTGGGTTCGATCCCAGTCAGAGCACATACAGGAGTCAACAATGAATGCATAAATAAATGGAACAAGTCTTTTTTTTTTCCTCTCTGTTTCCCTCTCTCTTCTCTTCCCTCTCTTCTCCCCCCACCCAGAATCAATCAATTAAAAATAAAAAAAAAGAATGTGAATTTATTTGAATGCTGTAGTATGATACTCAGATGTGTAAACTTTCCATGTGTAAAAATGGACTCTCATTGCTTGTTGTGTGATTTTTATTTATATGAAGTATCCACAAAAGGCAAATCTATAGAGACAAAGTACATTAGTGGTTGCCTAGATCTGAGGGTAGAAACAAGGAATGAGTTGAAAATAGGCATAAGGCTTCTTTTGGGGGCTGGTGGAAGTGTTCTAAAATTGGATTATGGGGATGGTTGCACAATTTTGTGAACATGCTAAAAATTATTGAATTGTATACTCTAGGTGAATTTTATTGTATGCAAATTGTACCTCAGTAAAGTTGCTAAAAATAGTCAAATTTTAAATTGGATGTAATATTTGTTATATTTAAGTATCGTATTCTATTTTCATTATTAAACATTTTTTCTGCTTTCTACTTTTAAGTTTAATTTTCAAAGAATGTGCTAATGTCAAATCATGTTAATTGATAATAGTAAAAATGGCCAGCATTTCTAAAATAATTAGTATGTACTGGGCATTATGCTAAATACTTTTTAAGACTATCTCTCAGCTGAAACCGGTTTGGCTCAGTGGATAGAGCGTCGGCCTGCAGACTGAAGGGTCCCGGGTTCGATTCCGGTCAAGGGCATGTGCCTTGGTTGCGGGCACATCCCCAGTGGGGAGTGTGCGGGAGGCGGCTGGTCGATGTTTCTCTCTCATCGATGTTTCTAACTCTCTATCTCTCTCCTTTCCTCTCTGTAAAAACTCAATAAAATATATTAAAAAAAAAAAGACTATCTCTCAGAAACACTATGATATATGTATCATTATCCCTATTTTACAGTCAAGGAAACATGTCCTCAACTTGTCCTAAGTCACATAGCTAGGTAAGGAGTCAGTCAGACAGGAATTGGAATAGACATTTGTCTTTTATCTTTCATGTGTGAAAATGCAGTGTCGTTGATGGGAATTTATAATGCCATTTGTAAACTGTGTGTTACACACCCTTGTGTGGATATTCTACACCAAGCATGTCAAACTCAAAGGCTAACACGGGCCAAATAAACAAGGTTTAAGTTTATGTGGGCCGCAAAAAAACAAAAGCTTCAATTTTCATAGAAACGTAGGTTTATTTTGATAGAGACATGCTGAATACAAAGGGTTGAAATAAATGAGTAATAATTAGCATAAAATAATAGAACCTTTTAATAAAAATTAATATTTTTTCTTGAACATTAACTTACCAGACACTGAATAACTGCACAAGTTAATAAGCGTAACTCAAATAAACCTATTTTTCTTGTTCTCCGAAGGCGAAATATTTCCTGTTGCGCACACCAAGTCAGTCCAAGACTGAATGACATGGCAGTTGGCTACTAAAATATTCACTGCTAGAATTAGTGGAGAGAAATGGTGCGCCTGCATGTAAGGCGCATAAGGGAAATGAATGCAACTTGATTATAGTAATCAGTCATTAGCGAACGTTGTAGTTTGTTATTAATAACTAGAAGCCCAATGCATGAAATTCATGCAAGAGCAGGCCTGCCTTCCCCTGGCTGCCTGCACCGGCTCCCCTCTAGCACCCGGGACCCTGGGCTTCCCTCTGGGCCACCAGCAGGCACCCGGGACCCGGGCTTCCCATGCAGCCCTGGCTTCATCCGGAAGGTCATCTGGAAGGATGTCCAGACTAATTATCATATTATGCTTTTATTATTATAGATAATGTATAACTGGATATTGTAAAAATTAAGTTATGAAATTTTTATTAAAACGTTTCTTACATACCATCATATTGGCTGGGCCACTAAAATATTCGTTGTGGGCCACATGTGGTCCGTGAGCCACGAGTTTGACTTGCTTGCTCTATACAGCTATTTATGTGTGATCTATTAGGAAATTCAAGTGGGTGTTCAGTATTGCCTGGCTGCCACAGAGCTTGTACAACATATTGAATCTTATTAATCTGTTTTACTTCTTTTTCTCCACCCCACAGTCTTAATTTTAAAGATCCCGAAGCAGTCAGAGCTCTGACTTGTACTCTCCTAAGGGAAGATTTTGGACTTTCTATTGATATTCCATTGGAGAGACTAATTCCCACAGTTCCCTTGAGACTCAACTATATTCATTGGGTAGAAGATCTGATTGGTCATCATGACTCTGACAAAAGTACTCTCCGAAGAGGAATTGACATAGGTATGTGGTTTCAAATTCTTCTTTTGACTACATGTAAGTCTTATAAAATTTTCAAGGTTGAATTCTTTATAAACTTCTCTTGTATTATGTGAAAGAACCTGACTATGGATATTACTGCTCTCATTTGCTACATGTGGGCTTTTCTGCCATTAATTCCTTTGAGCACCAAATAGGGAGCAAATGGGTAAGGGAGGCAAAATGAGTGAGGCTCTTGTTTTCTTAGCTTTTCAGATTACCATGTTGGTATCTGTGTCTACTGGGTACTATTTTTACTCTGAATTATTTGATATTAGTAACAGAATCTCCATATTGTGATTTTTGTGATAATGGCCAGTTGATAAAAGATTGTGTAGGTCTGAATACTTTCAAGAACCTCTTAGTTATTTGTAGAGTATTTAATCCAGAAATTAAAGATGGGGAAAATCATGAGTCAAAGTAAGATATTCTCTTAATTGCAAATATCTACAATGGAGAAAACTGTTCAGTTTGATTCATTTAGAAGAGCAAGTAGATATACAAAAGGAAATGAAGCCAAGGTATATTTAGCAATTATAAATGTATTATATGTTTGTAATGGCTAACGTTTTTATGTTTCTCCCATAACGGCATTTAAAAAATTTTTTAATCCTCACCTAGGATATTTTTTCTATTGATTTCTAGAGAGAGTGGAAGGGAGGAAGGAAGAGGGGGAAGAGAGAGAGAGAGAAACATCAATGTGAGAGAGACACATCCATTGGTTGCCTCCTGCACACACCCCTACCGGGGCTGGGGAACCTGCAACCCGAGGTACGTGCACTTGACCAGGAATTGAACCCAAGACCCTTTGGCATTTTATATTAAGGAAGAACAGTCTCAGCCATTTTAGGTCAACAAACGAGAGTGCATGACCAAAGAGATAATCTTACCTGACAATCACCTATTTTAGTACTAACTACTCCATGCATGTACTGCTTATCCACAGTGAGAGTAATTCCAAAACTATTTCCCAGAAAGAGATTTTCAACTTTTCCTTCTGAATGGCTGATTTCTACAGTGCCATTTAAAAAAATAACATACCGTGAGTCAAGAGAAAAAGACAGGTTTTTAAGAATCTCTTTTTAAAAAGATAAACAAAAAAAGAGATAGTTATATTTTAACTTGGAAAAATAATATATAGAACTTGAATATTTTAAAAAGGAAAAGGAAAGATCTGATTATATTACTAAATACTGTCAGGAACAACTAATACCTGTTTATGCGAACCATTGAAACTTATTTTACTCTTTCTTCTTTTAGTCACTACATGAGGTCCTAGGGCTGATGCTCTAGCCATCGAGCCAAAACAGCCAGGGTTGTTGTTGTGTTTTTAATTTTTAACTACACATTCACTTACCTGATTGATTAATGTCTTTCTCTACCATTAGCTTGCAAAGTGCAGAGCCTGTTACGTTTTTGCTTACTATAATAACCAAGGACTAAAAACGGTCTGTTGCTTAGTAGTAGGTATCCAGTTAATAATTCGTTGAATATTGATAAGTGATTCTTTCGACTTTAAAAAATCTGAACACCCCATTTAAGCTAAGCCCTATATAAAAATAATGGGGTTTAACAAAAGCTTCTGCCCTTTTATGTTCATGGCTGATGGGTTATAGAAAGCTTAAAAAGCTTGAGAGCCTATTTGGTACTAATTTATTTTAATTATGCCCTAAACCTAAAATAACACTTGGGGATATAGGAGGTTAATGGATTTTAGCTTTTCATAAGGGGCACTGGTGCTGAAATCACATTCATTCTAATTAGGGTTCTATATAAATTCTTCCCCCAGACTCCATCAGTTTGCTCTAATTCCATGATTATACACTTTCCATTTTTATTTATCGTTACAAGATTTTTTTACCATTTAAGAATGTCATTCAGCTTTCTGAGGGGATTAGGGTTTTAAGAATTGAGAAACTTGAGTTTTTTGGCAAAGGACAGGACTTTTACCTCGTTATCGTTGGGCAACTGAAGGAAAGTGGGTTTTTTTGTTTGTTTTTTTTGTTTTTGCTTTTAAATAAAATTTAAATATGAAGAGAGAGAGACAGTTGTGTGAGAATCAAGAGCTTGGGGATGTATGTGGTCTGAATTTTTTTTCCCTGGCAGAGATGAAAGTGCAGCTTGAAATTTCTTATTCTGCATGACTCTCTTACCACAGTGGCTAGAAGGGGTAATAACTGTGGCTTCTGAAAGGAGCTTGAGGACCCTTTACCATCCTTTCCCTCACCACATCACATGTCCCCAAGGAGGTGTTGGTCCAGAAGCATCGGGGCCTGGATGTTATTGGGTAAACATGATAGGAAGTTTAGCAATCACTATGACTGTCAAAAGAGCTTAAATGTTCTGGCCATCAGTTTTCGTGTTTTTTTACTAGACTGTTCAGAATACTTAATGAGGAAGCTGTAAGATGAGCCTGGGTTTCCTTTGGGTTAGGAGGAGTTCTAGCGTTCACTCTTTCTGTGCCAGGATGTGACCAGAGGAAAACAGGCCTGGAGTGGCTGGTATGGGCTAACTCGGGTGGGCAAACTTTTTGACTCGAGGGCCACAGTGGGTTCTTAAACTGGACCGGAGGGCTGGAACAAAAGCATGGATGGAGTGTTTGTGTGAACTAATATAAATTCAAAGTAAACATCATTACATAAAAGGGTACGGCCTTTTTTTTTCAATAGTTTTATTCATTTCAAACGGGCCGGATCCTGCCTGCGGGCCGTAGTTTGCCCACGGCTGACTTAGGCCTTTGGGAGAAACACTGGCTTTTTTTTTCTCTTTAAGATCTTATTAGCCAAGATTAGTCAGTGGTTGTAAAAGCAATATTTGAGATTAGTGTATAGTTAGAAGTTCTACATACAAATTTAGGACCAAACCCTGGGTGTCAAAGAAGTATCTTTGCCTGGAATATTTGCCTATGAATGTCCCCTTGAAATTTTGGTGATCAAGCCAGTGATTGATATGTTTTTTGTTTTTATAAGATGTATTTTTTAAAAATATATTTTTATTGATTTCAGAGAGGAAGGGCGAAGGAGAGAGAGAGAAACATCAATGATGAGAGAGAATCATTGATTGGCTGCCTCCTGCACGCCCCACACGGGGGATTGAGCTTGTAACCCTGGCATGTGCCTTGATCGGGAATCGAATCGTGACCTCTTGGTTCATAGGTTTATACTCAACAACTGAGCCATATTGGCTGGGCGATGTTTTTGATCTGGATCAAATATGTTTCCATGTCTCCACATCTAAGATATAAATTTTCTCTTTAAATTTTTTTCCCCCTTTTAATTCTGTTTTCCTTCACAGATATGTGGGGAACTAAGGGAGGGAGTTAATATAAAATTTCTATGCCTTATGTAATTTTTTTCTACTTTGGGGGAATAGGGTGTGCATTCATCTATTTTAGTTCTGTGGTGATTTAACAATTAGCATTGATTTCTTTTAAGAAAATAAAGATTTGTGTGAGATTTTAAATGGATTTTATAAAGCAAATTAAATTGTTTTGACAATTTTCAGTTAATCAATCATATATTCCTTGATCACCGGCCAGTTATACATACTTCATTTTACATACAACAAACATACAAAAGAGAGGTTAGTAAGATTTCTATCCTCTAAGAAATTTGAATCTAATTATGGGATAAGACTAACACATGAAATAACTAGTGGCCCGGTGCACGATTCATGCACATTAAAAGGAAATTAATTAGAAGAAATATTTTAATATCACTATTTGTCCTTTCTCTATAATAGAAATATCAATCAAATTCACGATCGACAATGACAGATCGAAACACACACATGCGATTCTTTATATGTATCCCGCATGTGCGAGGCAATGTTTATTTTTAAATTGCCATTGCGTGTCATATGTACTGGCCGGTTGAATGATCAGATGGACGGATGGTTGGTTACTTAGCCTTTTATATTTATAGACTAGAGAACCCAGAAGCCACTGTCGAGGCTATAAGAATTCTAAGAATGGTGTTTTTGATTATTATTCTCTCCCTCAGGTATATGCAATGTGTTTTGAATTTTTATTTTACTAGGTACTGGAGCATCCTGCATCTATCCTTTACTTGGAAGTACCTTAAATGGCTGGTATTTTCTTGCAACAGAAGTAGATGATATGTGCTTCAACTATGCAAAGAAAAATGTGGAACAGAATAACTTATCTGATCTTATAAAAGGTTAGCTCTACAGAATAAATATTCCTTTTAAGCTTTATTTTATTAACCTGTTTTTCTAATTTAACACATCTCATTCTTTTGCTTTAATATACAAACTTTGGTAATTTAAAAAATCTGGTACATTGTACTTGAATTTACTGTTTTGTTATCAGAATTAATTCAGAAGGAGGTATAGTAAATACAATCAAGCCTTGTAATCTGTGGATTCTGTATTTGTGAATTCCCTACCTGCTAAAATTTGCCTACATGGGGTTATTTTTAACTCCAAAATCAATACTTGTGGTTTGGTGGTTATCCATAGACATGTGCAGAGCAGCAAAAAATTTGAGTCACCCAACATGCATGTTCCCAGCTGAAGTTGAACAAGGTGATGCTCTGAGTTTCAGCTCTCAGACTGTAAACAAGTGTCCTTTTCATGGTCTGTTCAGTACCATTTTCTTTGCACTTTTGTGCTTTTTCTTGGTGATTTTATTGTTTAAAATGGCCCCTAAACATAGTGCTTAAGTCAGTGGTTCTCAACCTTCTGGCCCTTTAAATACAATACAGTTCCTCATGTTGTGACCCAACCATAAAATTACTTTCGTTGCTACTTCGTAACTGTAATGTTGCTACTGTTATGAATCGTAATGTAAATATCTGATATGCAGGATGGTCTTAGGCGACCCCTGTGAAAGGGTCGTTCGACCGCCAAAGGAGTCACGACCCACAGGTTGAGAACCGCTGGCTTAAATGCTATCTAGTGTTCCTGAGTGCAAGAAGGCTGTGATATGCCTTGCAGAGAAAATATGTGTGGTTGATAAGCTTCATTCAGACATGAGTTATAGTGCTATTGACCATGAGTTCAGTGTTAATGAATCAACAATATATATTAAATAAAGTACCTTTAAACAGAAACATAAAATAGGATATGTATTGATTGGTTGATGAAAATGTTGGACCTAACCTACCCTGTATTTCTCCCCAGAGCCAATAGTTCAGTATTCACTAATTCAGTGGTTATGATGGCTTTATAGAACATAAATATATATTCAGATACTGCAAATAATAGAATCAACTGTTAATGAAGTAGCCTGTTAACCAAGATTTTATTTATTTTTTAAAAATATTTTTATTGATTTTAAAGAAGAATGGAGAGAGAGAGAGAGAGAAACATCAATGATGAGAATCATTGACCGGCTGCCTCCTACATGCCCCCTACTGGGGACCAACTTCAAAACCTGGCCTGTGCCATGACCGGGAATAGAACTGTGACTCTGGTTCATAGGTCAATGCTCAAACATTGAGCCACACCAGCCGGGTGTTTTTTATTTTGTTTTATTTGTTTTAAATATCTATATATATATATGCCGTATTTGCCGGCGTATAAGATGACTGGGCGTATAAGACGACCCCCTAACATTTCCACTCAAAATACAGAGTTTGTTATATACTCGCCGTATAAGACTACCCCCCTCTTCCGCACACCTTCCACACACCAAATAAAAGGTAAAACAATATCAGATTTGATTTTAACATTTTAATTTATATTCAAATGCTTATGACATGCAGGCA